ATTCCTAATCAAATCTGTGGTGGGCAAACCACTGACCAGCGTCTCTAAATGAAGGATACTTCCACTTTGGAATATAATAACAATGATTCATATTCATAAAGTACTTTCATTTGCAAATTACATTCGCCATCGGAAATCCCGAGGGGTGGGCACTCATGCCATCACCATTTGGCAGAGGAGTTCACTGAAGAAGCTTGAATGATCTGCCCAAGATTCTGGGATGAAGAAGCACAGGCTCGGGAACCAGGCCAACCTGGGTTCAAACCCTGGCTCTGCCCTTTTCATTCCTTCAACAAATACTGACTGAGTGCACTTAGTTGTGTGAGCTCCGGCGAGTGACTGCCCCTCTCAGAACTTCCTTTTCTTCTTTGTAAAATAATATTAACACCACTCATCGAATCCATTCCCCTGCTTCATGCGAAAAGGCCAGACACTTGCTTTCCCAGGCTTCCCTGCGGCTAAAGCATGAGCATGTGACCTGACGCTGGCCAATGGGATTTAAAAAGAAGCCTGCCAGGGGGCTGCTGGGAAAGATTAAGCTGGGAGGGGAAAAAAAAAACTGGCATAGAAGAGGGCACACCCCCCTTCACTGTTTGGACATCATGTGTCTCTGTTTGAAGGCTGGAACTAGGTAGCCATCTCATGATACCACACATCCAGCCTGAGGACCAAGCTACCTGCAGGAGCTGGAGGAGTAGGACAGGAAGAATCTAGAATCCTTGGTGGTCCAGTGGTGAAGAATCTGCTTTGCAGTGCGGGGGACTCAGGTTCCATCCCTGGTCCGGCAGCTAAGATCCCATGTGCCGCGGAACAGATCAGACTGCGCGCTGCAACTACTGAAGCCCCGAGCGCTCTGGAACCCGCTTGACACAATTAGGGAGTCCGCGTGCCCCAATGAGAGATCCCGCATGACCGAACGAATGTCACTCGTGCTGCAGCTAAGACTTGACACAGCCTAATTAATTAATTAAAAAAAAGAATCTAGAATCCTAATGGCATCATGGAACCATTAGCCCAAAGCCTTGAAACTCCCTGTTAGGTGAAAAGATGCATCTTCCTCCTTGTAGAAGACACTTTTGGTTTCCTATTCTGTGACTTGTAACCCAAGTGGGAGGACTACCTTGATTGAATTGCTGAAAGGATTTCAGTGATAGTACATAGAAAGCATCTAATTGGTGCCTGGCACAACAAACAGCAGCTCCTCTGGAAATCATCTCAGGCTTTAACCCTGAGACTCTTCCAGGGACCAAAGACCCTCCTGGTCTGGCAAATTAGCTCTCTGTCTCTCCTACTGAGAAAAGCTTGTCGTTTTCCCAGAAAGCAGAAACCCAGCAGTGGCCCAGAACCACCACCCCATCACTCTGATGAAACTGACCCCAGCTTCCAAACTGGAATCAATCACACTACCGTTTGTCTAATGGATTTTGATTTTCACTCCCCTGACGGGGAAGGCAAGGGCTGGTGCTTTGGTTTGTCTCCGTGTTGCCAGAACATCCATCAATTATTAACACCAGCAGCTCAGCCACTCAGGGCCACTATCAGAAGGAAAAGACTTGCTGCAACCCAGCCCACCCAGCCAGAGAGAGAGGACTCTGCTGCTGATTATTTATGAAAACAAGCCTTATGGACTGTGGGGTAGGCACTGTGCTAAATTCTGGCAAATGCGATGACCCTTCAAGGTGGACCTTTTATCTATACTTTCCAGGCTGGAGGCCACAGCTTGGAGAGGGGAAGACCTCGCTGAAGGCCAGAAACTGGAGAGACGGTGAACCTGGCCTTAAAAGCCAGGTCTGTCTGTGGTCCTGCACATATAAGATACGGCATTTCTGGATCTCACAATCACCCAGCCATGGTCCTCCATTTGACTTCTTATCCTGCGAACCCTGAGAAATTTCTACAGGCCTTGCTGTTCTAACAAGTGAAGCTTCCAAGTTGGGGAGCTGGGAGTGGGTGGGGAGGGCAAAGAACAAATCACCCAAGGGGGCCAGAGGCACAGAGAACTGGGTTGCAGGTGGGTTGAGCGGAAGGAGCGACAGGTCCTTGAGACACGCTGACTGACTGCTCCATTCATTCATTCCATCTGGATTTATCTGGAGCTGCTCTGTGCCAGGCACCATGATGGGTACTGGGAATGGGGCAGTGAATACAGCTCATGACGCTCATATTCTTATAGAGGAGGAACTGAGAAACACAAAGAAGCGGGTACAATTTCAGATAGTGCTCAAGCCCTGTGCAAGAAAGACACTACAAAACGTCAGTGTAAGAAGAGAGAGGCTGTCTTAGATAGGGGTCAGGAAAGGTCTTTTGGAGGAGGGGACATCTGAGCCGGGACCAGCTCCTAAAAGGAATGAGAAAGAGTAACCAGCCATGGGACAATATGAGGAAGAGAATTCCAGGTGGTAGGAACACAAGCACAAAGGTCCTGAGTTAGGACAAAGACAGATCTGTGTAGGGAAGAGCAAGGAGGCCAGTGGGGCTGAAACTGAGTGAACTAGAGAAGAGATGAGTTCAGAGAGGTCATGGGGCCAAATTCGTGGTGAAGGGTTTGGACTTTATTCTGTAGTGGGAAAACTCTCTGGAGCATTTTGAGCAGATGAATAATGTGATCCAATTACATCTAGAAAAGCTCATTCTGGCTGCTGAATGGGGAATGGATTGCAGGAGGCAAAGGTGGAAGCAGGGAGACTGGGAAGGAGACTATGGTACTTAATCACTGTGGAAAGAAGAGTAATTCAAAATCACACTTGAGTCTGAATTTCTGGCTACTCCCATTTGCCTGCTGTGTGACCTTAGGAAAGTTAGTTAACCACTCTGATCTTCCCTCTTTTTGAAAGGTGGGATATAGGGAACTGGTATAAACCTAAATGTGTTGTCCATATACAGTGGATACGTGATCAATGGCAGGATTTCTACGCTGAGTGCCAATGAGCCTGCCTGCCACACCATTTCAGCCTTGGCTGCAAATATCCTAGATCGTCCATCTGCTAGGACTAGCTAGCAGCCCCAGCCCATGACCACAGAAAGGTCATGAAACTCGTCCCTGTGATCGGATTAACCTGAGGGAGTGATGAAGCTGTTTATTCCCAACCAGCACCTTTTACAAGCCTGAGCTACCTACCTTGCTGCCAGGAGCCAACCCAAACAGAGCCCTTTGCCTACTTCTTCTGGGAAACAGACCCTCCCCTGCTCTTCCCCTCGCTCTCTTGTCTTGGGGACAGGACAGAGAGGAGGGAGTCATACCTGGGTCTAAACCAGGTGTGGAGAGGAGAAACCTGGTCAGGCCTGGAAATAGCAAAATAAGTCTGCTGATCCTAAGCTGGTTAAGGGTGAGTGACTATGTCTTAAGACAGAGGCTTTTTGGACACGAACCCTGGGGCAGGATTATGGCCAGAGGCAGCCCGCAAAGAGGAGATGGGCCTAGGAATCTCTGTGTCCTCTTTAGGGTGGACAGGGAAAAAAGAAAACCTCTCTCTGCACTCCAACCAGCCACTCAGTCCTACATTCACACTCGCAAAGGCCTCTCCTTGGGCAGGCAGATCTGGAGAGAGGGCCCCCTCCAAATCCCCTCCAGATCTGGCCCTCCACGTGGTCTTTAGTGAGGGGCCAGTTGAGCCAGGGGGCACCCACAATGAGAGGGCAGGACAGGCCTCTGGCAGTAGGCTGTCCCCTACGAGCTCACACATCATGGCTGGCATGCAGATTTCCTTCTCTCTTTTTCTTTTTGCCATGAATGCATTTACCTGTTCTTCCCCTGGCTTACTGGCCCTGCTCTCAGGGAAGGAGTTATGTTCAGCGTATCTTTCCCGGCTTGGTCTTCCTGGACCCTGACCTTGGCGCCTCTCTTCTCTGGCTCCCTCTGGGCCGCATGGCCTCTTTTGTGGCACTACACACAGTGTGTTCTCATTTCCTTGCAGCTCCCAGCACCTTGGCCACGTGAAGATAGGCCCCCATCTCTCTGAGGCACCCCCAAGTCCCAGTCTAACACAGACAAGTTGCTCATCAGCAAATGACCTCCTGCCCTGGTCTGGCTCGCCACTCAAGCCTTCCTTCATCCCTTACAGCCCCTGTTCTTTCTTTTTTTTTTTTTTTAGTTGGAGGCTAATTACTTTACAGTATTGTAGTGGTTTTTGCCATACATTGACATGAATCAGCCCAGCCCGTTTTTTTACGTGGCAGCATATACTTCTATCCATTGTGACGGGACCCATTCCTGCCTCTTTCTCCTGCTTTCTTTTTCACATTGCCTCATTTTTTCTCCCGTATTTCAAAATTTACATCCTCTTCCAATAGCCAAAGCATCTTTAGAAGCTGCATCAACCATTCTGGGAATCAATTCACCAAATAAATGAAGAAAGGACAAACCAGGGGTGACCCTTCGCCCACAGGCGCCCATAACCAGCTGCACGCATCATGCACGCACACAGCCATCCCTCAGAGCCCCTTTGCCTCATTTTTCTCACTTATGTTAAAACTGCCTGACAGTATCTCAATGTCCTCCAAGTAGGTCTGTAAGCTGCTTCATTCCCTCCTTGAAGCAAAGTGGGGTTATAAATATAGGGATAAGTATTAAAATTGCAGAGTGACTCTCCTCTAGCCTGGGTCTAGGCATCCACAAGGGAGCATTATGTAGAATAGACCGAACCCAACTCTACTCCATCTCGAGGCTTTACTGCCCCTCTGTACCCTGTTATTTGCAGTGTCCATTCTCTAGATGTGGGTTTTCGTAAGTCTCCACAAATCCTTTTCTCCAGCAAAGCTGGGGTATAAAGTATTGCATAATAAAAGAATGAGGTGGCCAGAGCCATACAGGAACGATCAGTCTGAAGGGGGTGTTGGTTCTCACCTCTGAGGTCTCAGCCACAGCCCTTTCTCTTTCCTGGTCTTCACATTTGTGGGAACTAAGCCACAGTTCCCCCAGCCGCGGTCCTCGATCTGGGCACACAGGCAGAACCGCCCCCCACCCCCACCCCAGCCCAGCGCCGTCCGGATCTCACACTCACCTTGGCGGCAACAGAGGAATTGGGCTTCTCCAGTAAGTCCCAGAGTTTCTTCCTCTTCTCCGCGCAGCACGCGTTGTCGAACTCCTCGCCCTCCCGCTCGCGCAGCGTCTCCGCCTCGCGCTTGAGCTCCTCGTTCATTTGTTCCTTCTTCTGGTGGTAGCGGGCCTGGCAGCAGGACTCCAGGTAGATTTCGTCGATGCCCCAGTAGTCCAGCTCTTGGCTGAAGCTGAGCGCGCACATCTCCTCCATCATGTGCAGCCGCCCGGTGCGGTAGAAGTTGAGGATGGAGGTGAAGGCGCCCGGGTGGCGGTCGAAGAAGTACTCGTTGTCGTCGAGGCTGTAGTCGTCACACACCTCCAGCAGCGAGTCGTGCGTGTTGCAGTCGCGGAGCTTGCCCAGCCGCGTGCGGGGCAGGCGGTCCAGGGTGCGCCAGAGCACCTCGTGTGCCAGCCCTCCGACATTGAGGCGGACGCGCCTCGAGCACGCCTTGCTGCGCACGATCTCCATGGGCTCGGGTGGCAGCGAGCTAGTGGAACGGGAGCCATGCTTCGTCATGCCCGCCGGCATCGCTGGTCCGGCCGCCCCCGCCCCCCCTGCCCCCCCAGGCCGCTGTCACTGGACGGCGAGGCCGGCCGCCGCGGGGGAGGGGGGCAGGGAGCGCTGTGGGCTGCTGGGGGTGCAGGGGGCCGCGCGGGCGCGCGTCACGGCCGTCTTCTCACCTCCATCCCGACGGCTGCGAGGCAGAAAGCGGACGCAGGTCAGCGGACGAGGAGCTGTGCGCGGCCCCTCCCCACCTCTCCACCCCTGCCCCGGCCGGCCTTGACCTTCCCGGCTCTTAAGCCGCTCAGGGCCGCAGCCGGGCTGGGCGCTGTCCCTCCCGCCGGTGCTGAAGTCCGCCCCACCCCGTGACTGGAGGGAGGGGCCGCCCTCCGGAGCGGGGAGAGGGCCCCCAAGAGGCACCGGGGGCACCCGGGAGGCCCCACCCCGGGCTTCCACCGCCCTGGCTCTACTCTGCCGCCTGGGGCGCTGTCCGCCCCGTCGAGTGCTGAAACTCGCTTTGCTCTGGGTCTCCCCGTCGAGGGCCGCACCTGGCCCCGCCATGCTGAAAGGAGGGCAGCTAAATGAAAAAACTTTTCTTCTTCTTCTTCTTTTTTTTAAAAATACTTATCTTTTCCTTCCCCCGCTCAGAGATAATTGGGATTTGAAGGCTGGGGGTGGGGTGGGGGCGGTGGGGCGGTGGGAGGGGGATTGCTTTTTCTAAATCTTTAAAGATTTGGGGAATTCTGGAGGGTTTCAGGTGCCCACCTGTCGGTCACAACAGACCGGATAGTCACGACCGCCCCACTGTCCTGGAGCGACCCCTCTCCCCAAGCCACACGGGAGCATCTCTTGAGGTCTCTCCGGAGACGAGGTGAACACAAGACGCAAAGCAGGCTCTGCGCGGGGTCCCGCCCCTCCCTCCGCGCCCTCTGCCCCACGGCGGGGGTTGGCGCACCAAGTCCGGGGGACCCACCTGGCCCGTCCTCCCCTAGCTCCTTCCCCGCCCCCTTCTCCTTCTCCTCCTCCTCCACCACCTCCTCGCTCCTCTCCTGCGATGGCTTTTTATAACTCCGGGTTCTGCGCCTTTCCCGGGGCTTGGAAGAGAAGGGGTGGGGGAGGTGGGAGGCGGGGAAAGGAGCTGAATTTTCTGGCCTTTTCAAAACGAGCCCTCCTCCCTCCGCGCACTGGTGATCTCAGGGCTCCTCTGAGCCCCTAGGCATGTGAAGCTCACGCCCTACCCCCTCACCCAAGAATGGGGATCGCGCGTCTCCCCCGAGCCCCGGCTCCTGCCCACTCCCCCCGCCCCCCCGCCCCAGCCTGAAACCGCGGAGCCTGGGTAGACCAACAGGCCGAACCGCGACAAGCGAGCCCCTCTCCTGGATCCCCCTGCGTCCCCGCCGCGCGCCCCAACACTCACCCCCAGGGTGGCCGCCTCCCAGGGCCAGGGACCGCGCATTGCCGCGGTCGCCCGGGCGCCCCCGCCCGCGGGCAGCGGCGGACCCGGGGCCGGGCTGGGCCCGGCCTACGCCGGCCGGGCAGGCGACGCGCCGGAGCTGCAGGCGCTGCGGGGCCGGAGCGCGCTCTCCGAGGTTGGGGGCGCCGGCGGGCGCTGGGGGCGCGGGCGGCAGGACTGAGGTCGGGAGGCGCCTCGCGATCCACCTCCTCCTCTTCTGCTCCCGCGGCAGCGGTGGCGGCTGCTTGGGCGAGATCAACAAGTCGGGGCTGAGCTTGGCTCCGCGCTCGCTGCGATTCTGTCCCGCACTTCTGAGCGCCCGGAGTCGGGCACCGAGGCGGGACGGCGCCACCTGCGGGTTGGAAGCGTGCTCGCCGCTTAACTCCTGCCTGCCCGGCCCGGCTGGTTGGTAAGGCTGGGGGCGGGTTAGGGATTTGGGCAAAGGATGTGCCCCTAACGACTGCCTGCCTCTCAATTCCACCTTCCTTCATCCGGTCATCAGTGTAGCTTGAGCGCCTACTGTATGCAAGGCCCTGAGATAAGCATCTGAGATACAGCTGTAAACCAAACGCAAATATCCAGCCCTTGTGGAGCTGGTTGGAAGCAGAACAAAACCAAGAAAGTCAAAGAATATGTCAGACCATGATAAGCGCAGAGGAAAGGGAATGGGGGATGGGGTGGTGAGGAGGGAGGGGAGGTGGAGTGAGGGGGGAGAATTGCAATTTTAAATAGCCCTTGGTTTCATAAGCTTCCATTCTAGACTCTAAGCTCTAATTCTAGAAATGAATTCTAGATTCTAGTGGGGGAAGGTGTGCAATAAGTATATCAACAAATAAATATCCAGTGTGGCAGCTGGCGATAACTGCTAAGAAGAAAAATAAAGCAAGGTGATGGGAAGAGAGAGTGAGGGGTGAGCCAGCTTATAAACCTTGGGGATTCATTCATTCATGTTACTTTGGACAACTGGCTTTAAGAGCCTCTTGTGTGCCAGGTCCTATGCCAGGCTCAGCAAGGATTATGTCCTTCCCTGGGGCGCCCTGTCCAGTGGGGGAGAACGGATGGATCGAATAATCTCCAGAAATGAATAAAAAAGTTGAATAACTTACCTAGAGAAGTGAGCAAGGCCTCCCTAAGGATGCCACAGTTGGGCCCATGTTTACTTTTTTCTTTTTTTGTTTAAAGATTTTTTTTAATGTGGACAATTTAAGAAGTCTTTATTGAATTTGTTGCAGTATTGCTTCTGCTTTATGTTTTTTGGCCATGAGGGATATGGAATCTTAGCTCCCAGGCTGGGGATGAAACCTGCACTCCCTGGACTGAAGGCGAAGTCTTAACCAGTTGACTGCCAGGGAAATCCCTACTTATTTACTCTTTCAAATCCATATCTACTGCCTAAATGGAAGCTGTGGACACAGCAGTGAGCCCCTGTGCTGGAGGAAAAACTGAACAAGCCACAGTGCCCTAAGGTACAGTCCCCCCCACCCCCGACCCTTTCCTTCATTTCTAAAATTGAGAATCATTTCCACAGAGTTGCACATAATATTATTATATATTTTAATCTGTTCATTTCTCGTCATCTCCATTATCTTGATCCGCATCCAAGATGCCATCATCTTGTAGGCAGAGGCCACAGATGTGGCTAAACATCCTCCAGTGCCCAGGTTGGAGCCTCGCAGTAAAGAATTCTCTACCCTCGAATGTCAATAGTGTCAAGGTCGATAAACCTTAGATCAATTTAAAATAGAAGGTAAAGGTATTTCCCAGTCTGAATATTCTATTCTCCCAGCTAGTAATTAGTGAGCACCGACTATGTTATGTGCCAGGTTAACAGGCTTCTCTGGTGGCTCAGTGGTAAGGAATCTGCCTGCCAATGCAGGAGGTGCGGGTTTGATCCCTGGGTAGGGAAGATCCCCTGGAGAAAGAAGTGGAAGCCCACTCCAGTATTCTGGCCTGGAAAATCATGTGGACAGAGGAGCCTGACAGACTATAATTCATGGGGTCACAAAGAGTCAAACACAATTTAGCAACTAAACAACAACTACTCTGAACACCGGAGATACAGTGAGACTAAATCAGGCAGTCTCTAAACTCATGGACTTATATTCTGGTGGGGGATACAGTTAATGAACAAGTTAAGTGGATAAACTGGATTTTTTGAATAGTGAGAAATGCTGTGAAGAAAAGTAAGAGAGAGGAAGTGAGGGAGAGCGTCACTGGAAGAGGCATCAGCAACTTTATATAGGGTGATCAGGCAGGGAGGGCTTCCTGGAGGAGGTGATATATCTAAGGTGAGAACCTGAGGGCAGGGAGAAGACAACCATGTGAAGTCCTAGGGAAGGAGGTACAGGCAGGGGAAACAAAGAGCAAAAGTCCTATCCTAGAAATGAGCTTGGGGAAAGAGGTTAGAGAGGTGGGTGGGGTCAGGCCAGGCAGATCCCTGTTGGGATTTTATTCTCAAGGTTAAGAAATGAATTTGACTTTTCTGTTATTTGTAATGGGAAGCCATGATAGAGTTTTAAGCAGAGAAAATCCATGTGCTGCTATATATTTTGAAGTGATTCTTCCAGCTGCTGTGTGCTTTACAGAATTTGGGGGACAAATGGTAGCAGCAGGAAGACCCATCATGAGGCTTCCACAGTTGTCCAGGTTAAAGATAATGGGGTTTGGACTGGAATGATGGTGGTGGGAATGGCTGGGCAATTTCACAGTCACGGGGCTCTGACAGGGGAGAGTCCTCTGCAAGCCCAAGGCTAGATATTCTGTGTCATTCAGACTCATCACTCCAGGTGGCCTGATTCCTGCAAAGTTCTTACTCTGGCTCCAGATTCAGATAAAGATCTGTGTACAGTGGATCTTAGAAGCGCAGATAGTACAAACAGCTCTGTAACTTTTTTTTTTTTTGCAAAAGTCATGTTGCTACTACTTGTATATTCGTTCACTCAGTACGAAGGATTCAGTGTAAACTTACTCAAGAAGGAAATGTGGCTAGTGTCTCAGAAAGTGAGTTCTGGAGTCAGAATGACTGGTGACTGGTGCCATTTCTTGCAGAATGACCTTGGGCAAGTGGTTTAACCTCTCTGAGCCTTGATTTTTTTTTTTCTGTGTAAAATAAGGATGGAAATTATTATGAGGAATTTATAGAAAGCACATACTCATTGCTAGCTCTCATCATCTGATAGATTGTAGGTTACCCAAGGGTAGGAAATGGTCTGTCTTGCACATCTCAACTATCAGAATGCTTAACTAATAGGAGCTTAAAGAATATGGATATTTAGTTATCACACATAAAAATTCAGGAAAAGGGTGGTATGAGAGTTGATTAAGCAGCTCATTATGTTATTACAGACCTAGGCTTCTTCCATTTTTTGCTCTGCCTTATTCAACATATTGGCTTTTTGTCCCAAGCTTGTTGCCTCACAGTCACAAAATGGCTGCCACCACTCCAGGCATTGGCCTCCATAAAACCATATTCGAAAGCAGAAAGAAGGAGATGGCCAATGTGGCAAAAAAATATTTCTCCTTTCATGCTTTTATCCCCCAGGAGTCTCTACCAAGTTCCATTTCATGGGTCACT